CCTAATGTAATGTGGGACTCTGATGGGAACTCTGAATGTGGGACTCCAATGTAATGTGGGACTCTGATGGACTTGATGTAATGTGGGACTGATGGGACTGATGGGATCCCTGATGTAATGTGGGACTCTGATGGGATCCCTGATGTAATGTGGGACTCTGATGAGAACCCTAATGTAATGTGGGACTCTGATGGGGGAACCCTGATGTAATGTGGGACTCTGATGGGATCCCTGATGTAATGTGGGACTCTGATGGGATCCCTGATGTAATGTGGGACTCTGATGGGAACACTGATGTAATGTGGGACTCCATGGGAACTTTGATATAATGTGGGACTCTGATGGGATCCTTGATGTAATGTGGGACTCTGATGAGAACCCTGATGTAATGTGGGACTCTGATGGGAACCCTGATGTAATGTGGGACTCTGATGGGAACCCTGATGTAATGTGGGACTCCTGATGGGAACCCTGATGTAATGTGGGACTCTGATGGGAACCCTGATGTAATGTAGGTCTCTGATGGGAACACTGATGTAATGTGGGACTCTGATGGGATCCCTGATGTAATGTGGGACTCTGATGGGATCCCTGATGTAATGTGGGACTCTGATGGGATCCCTGATGTAATGTGGGACTCTGATGGGAACCCTGAATGTAATGTGGGACTCTGATGGGAACACTGATGTAATGTGGGACTCTGATGGGATCCCTGATGTAATGTGGGACTCTGATGGGATCCCTGATGTAATGTGGGACTCTGATGGGATCCCTGATGTAATGTGGGACTCTGATGGGATCCCTGAAGTAATGTGGGACTCTGATGGGATCCCTGATGTAATGTGGGACTCTGATGGGAACCCTGAAGTAAGGGGATCTTTTGATGGAGTCCCTAATGTAAGGCAGAAATCCCAATGGAGACCCTAATGAAAAGGCAGACACCGATGGGACCCTAATGTAGGGAGGGACTTTAATGGGGACTTTGATATAAGAGGGATTCAGATGGGGGCCCTGATCTAAGAGGGGACTTTGGTGGTCACTATTAGTAGAGTCATTTCTTATTTGTTCTGAATCATATCATACTGATTACAAAAAAAAGATCCAAGTAAAATGTATTCATTCAATTAAATTGTGCTCCATTATTAAAAAGTGTTTTTTTTTTCCAGTCCATGAATATTGATAAAATATACAATTTGGCCCTTGTACTGGAATGTATGGAGACCCCTGTCCTGGATGCTGAATACCTTCTACATTTACTAGATTCATGATTGCTTTGAGAGCACACTGTCCCTGCACATTGGTTTTCTCATTTCTATTTCTGTCTGATAATTCAGTTTAGAGATCTTACAGTACACCCTGAGTAACCACAAGCAGTTCACTGACTATAACATACAGATGAAATGCGGTAACATAAACCACCGATAAAAACGGTCGACTTTTTCCTCGTAGCAAACAATCAATTCACAGAGCAGGTAAGTGAAGACATGTTCAGGTCCTGTATGAATGAAAATGCCTAAAAAAAAACATAGTATAAATAATAAATAGTATTTTATTTGTATATATGTATGTATGTATTTTATTTTATATATGTTTTGTTTGTATTTTTTTTTGTATATGTATGTATGTATTTTATTTGTATATGTATGTATGTATTTTTTTTTTATTTTTATTTTTATTTTATTTGTTTTTTGTTATGTATTTTTTTTATTATTTTTTTTTTTTTTTTTTTTTTTTTTTTTTTTTTTTTTTTTTTTTGTTTTTGTATTTATATTTTTTTTTTTTATTTGTTTTTTTTGTATGTATTTTTTTTTTTTGTATTTTATGTTTTTTTTATGTATGCAAATATTTATTTTATTTGTATATGTATGTATGTATTTTATTTTATATTTTTTTTTATGTATTTATTTTTTTTTTTTATGTATGTACCATATTTTTTTTTTTATAGTTTTTTTTTTTTTATAAGACGCACCCAATTTTTTTTTTTTTTTTTCTAGAAAAAAAAGATTTATTTTGAACCCAATTTTGTCCACCGTTGCCCCCACTCATCACGTAATGTCCACCATTTTTTTTCATCACTGTAAAGTCCACCATTGCCCCCCACTTTTCATCACCATCACTGTTCCATGCAACATTGCCCCCACATTAGTAATAATAGCCAGTAACATTGCCCCCACATTAGTAATTTTAGCCAGTAACATTGCCCCCACATTAGTTTTTAATAGCCAGTAACATTTTTTTTTTTTTTAATAATATTTTTTTTAACATTGCCCCCACATTTTTTAATAATAGCCAGTAACATTTTTTTTTTTAGTAATAATAGCCAGTAACATTTTTTTTTTTTTAGTAATAATTTTTAACATTGCCCCCCAACATAGTAATTTTAGCCAGTAACATTGCATTGCCCCGCTTTTCATTGTTATTGTAGATTTTTATGGTTTAGGATCCACGAGCAGAGGGGGTGATGACGTTTTATGCCGGGTGTACTTTTTTTTGACCGCTCCAGAGATAGGCCAAAGCCGCGGCCTTTTTCCTACGTTTTTGGCCGCGCCTTTTTTTTCTTTCTATTCGTCGTATAAGACGCACCAACTTTTTTTTTTTTTTGTTTTTTTGGGAAGAAAAAGTGCATTTTTATACGGCGAAAAAATAATATTTTTATTTTTTTTTGTATATGTATGTATGTATTTTTTATTTGTATATGTATGTATGTTTTTTTTTTTGTATATGTATGCAAATATGTATTTTAAATGAAAATAGATACATGTATTGTAAAATATTAGTATGACTTAACCTCCCTGGCGATATACCCTGAGTGTAGCTCGGGGGTTAACTTTCAGTGCAAAAGCGGTAACCCCGAGCTAAACTCGGGATTACACTGCAGCGTTGCTCCGGGATCCCTCCAGCATTTTCCTTGTCTTGCGCTCCCGCGATGTCCCCCTGCAGTGTCCCCAGCCAATGTCCTCCGACCGATGTCGGCATCCGTCTTCTGGGTTCTGTTCCCTGCGAACGTTGGGACGTACGGGGGACGGAACTGGCGGGAAATTCAACAAATTTTAAAAGTGACATTCACTAAATACACTAAAATCACATAGTATAACATTCCTGTATCAAACCATTTCACATACATTTTGTCCCGAGTGCTTTGTCCGGCGCCCTGCCTGCATTTTTACTGTTCTTTCTGCCTGGAAACTGAGAAACGTCCATGGCGTCCAAAAAGCGTCCCTTTAGGTCAGACGCGGTTTTAGACCGGCTAGAGAACAGCGATAGTAAATCAGAACCACTTGCAGAATTGAGTGATAATGATTCGTGGTGGAAATTCCTCATCAGACACTGAAAACGATTTTGCAACTTTGCTCAGCGATGTGCGAACTTGGCGCTCTATTTCACATTTCAGTGTTTTTGGTTTGATTATATTATTGAATTAAATTTGTTATTATTTTTTTATGATTATTTATTATATTATAATTTATGATTTTGTGTTTCAAATTTTATCCTGTCTGGGATGTTTACTAGACTCTTGTTCGGACAGATTTCAGTGAGTTATTCCTAAGAATTACAGGCCTACAATAAAAAAATACATATTTCCATGCAAAACAATGTACCGCTTTGAGCACAGAAATACTGACTGACATCATCAGACCGCTGGGGAGGTTAATAAGGTATAAATGGAAAAGGCAGTAATATCCCTTTAAAAGAAAAAAAAAGATAAGAATTTAAATGCCTGCAAATAGTGATTTGTTACAGCTGGTTCCCAGGGCCTCAGTGCACAATATTTGGAAAACTGGGGGGGGGGGGGGGGGGTGTCTTAAATGGATTTTAATGCACAGAGTTTGATTTATTGACTGTAAAGCTGTCAGCTCATCTTGCCTCCCATTCTTCCATGGAAGGCCTCTGGAGCAGGAATCAATCAATACAAGCTGTAGCGAGTTCAGGGCTGGGGTGTATAGGAAGGTTTGGATAATACGAGATCTTTATGATAAAACAATTTTTGGACCTCGGTAAGTTTTAATTGCTCAGACAGCCAAAATAAAACATAGTTATTTCTATGGAGCTGGGCACAATAGGAGCTGCATCCCATCTGCTGCAGGCACAGGGCACCCAACGAGTACGACATGGGAAGGGGGGGGGGGGGCTTCAGGGGGCCCGGCAGCTGAGCTTGCATCAATTGGTTATGCTTAGCTGCCATTTCTTTTCACTTTAAGTCAGTCTGTCACAAAGATCATCCCATTTATAATGATATGTGTACGTTTTTATTTTAATGACTCCTCAGACATTCCCCTCAGCAGCCTAAAACAAGAGTAATTAAAAAAAAAAATATACATTCAGATTCCATATTAAGGCAGGCTGATTGGCACAGGCACTCTGGGGTAACATATTTTAGAGGAAATGTATCAATAAAGTCAAATCTTCTGTGACTGCAAAATTGATCTAGTGCTCTTTCAGATGTGTGCCCTGTTTATTATGCTGCCTCTATAAGTGTGGCACAGAGACAGGCCTGTATCTAGGTTGGTTTGTTAGTTGTGCTCCCTCAGGTTTTAGTTGTGCCCCCCCCAGGTCTTTGAGAATACATTCACACCAGGTATAGTAGGACTGCATTCGGCGGCTGTTCCAGCGCATTCCCACCGCAGAAAGCCTCGTCCCCTACCTGACTGGTTCACAGCACCATATTGCAGTGGTGTGCAAAATGTACGGCAAGCCGTACTTGTTTGCAGCGCAGTGCAAGGCGATTCACCGCATTGCCTTTTCACTCACATTCCCTGCATTAAAGTGTTCCTAAACCCAGGACCCTGCATTCACTATAACTGCTCTCCTCGGACCCTGCATTCACTATATCCGCTCTCCCCGGACCCGGCATTCACTATATCTAGTCTCTCCAGATCCTTCATTCACTATATCCATTCTCCCCAGACTCTGCATTCACTATATCCGCTCTCCCCGGACCCTGCATTCTCTATATCTGGTCTCCACAGACCTCGCATTCACTATATTCTGCTCACTGTATCCTCCCCGGACCCCGCATTCACTATATCCGCTCTCCCCGGACCCTGCATTCACTATATCCGCTCTCCCCGGACCCTGCATTCACTATATCTGGTCTCCCCAGACCCTCGCATTCACTATATTCGCTCTCCCCGGACCCTGCATTCACTATATCTGGTCTCCCCAGACCTCGCATTCACTATATTCGCTCTCCCCGGACCCCGCATTCACTATATCCGCTCTCCCCGGACCCTGCATTCACTATATCCGCTCTCCCTCTCCCCGGACCCCGCATTCACTATATCCGCTCTCCCCGGACCCTGCATTCACTATATCCGCTCTCTCCCCGGACCCCGCATTCACTATATCCGCTCTCCCCGGACCCCGCATTCACTATATCTAGCTCTCTCCGGACCCCGCATTCACTATATCCGCTCTCCCCGGACCCCGCATTCACACTATATCCGCTCTCCCCGGACCCCGCATTCACTATATCTGCTCTCCCCAGACTCCGCATTCACTATATCCACTCTCCCCGGACCCCGCATTCACTATATCCACTCTCCCCGGACCCTGCATTCACTATATCCACTCTCCCTGGACCCTGCTCTCCACTCTCCCCAGACCCCGCATTCACTGTACCCCGCCCCCGGATTCACTATATCCGCTCTCCCCGCCCTCATTCACTATATCCACACTCCCTGGACCCCGCATTCAATATAGCCACTCTCCCCGGACCCCTGCCACTCTCCCCCGGACCCTGCATTCACTATATCCGATCTCCCCGGACCCTGCATTCACTATATCCACTCTCCCCCGGACCCCGCATTCACTATATCCACTCTCCCCGGACCCCGCATTCACTATATCCGCTCTCCCCGGACCCTGCATTCACTATATCCCCGGACCCACTCTCCCCCCCGACCCCGCATTCACTATATCCGCTCTCCCCGGACCCTGCATTCACTATATCCGCTCTCTCCCCGGACCCCGCATTCACTATATCCACTCTCCCTGGACTCCCCGGACCCTGCATTCACTATATCACATATCCACACTCCCTGGACCCCGCATTCACTATAGCCACTCTCCCCGGACCCTGCATTCACTATATCCGATCTCCCCCTGCATTCACTATATCCCTCTGCATTCACTATATCCACTCCCTGGACCCTGCATTCACTATATCCGCTCTCCCCGGACCCCGCATTCACTATATCCGCTCTCCCCGGACCCTGCATTCACTATATCCGGAACTCTCCCCGGACCCTGCATTCACTATATCCGCTCTCCCCGGATCCCCCTCGGAATTCCCACCGAGATCCAGCATTCACTATATCCGCTCTCCCCGGACCCCGCATTCACTATATCCGCTCTCCCCGGACCCCGCATTCACTATATCCCCTCTCCCCGGACCCTGCATTCATGATATCCGCTCTCCCCGGACCCATTCACATTCACTATATCCGCTCTCCCCGGACCCCGCATTCACTATATCCGCTCTCCCCCGGACCCCGCATTCACTATATCTAGCTCTCCTCGGACCCCGCATTCACTATATCTAGTCTCCTCGGACCCTGCATTCACTTGGTGCTTGGAGCTGCACCGATTTCTAAAAGTAGTGCATGCCCTACTTTTGGTGCGATTTGCATAGACATCTGCGACACGTCTTCCAAATCGCTCCTCCTCCTCCGACTTTGAAATCATGCGACTTCACTGTAAGGGGGGTGTTGGGCACCCAAAGGATAGTGAGACTTGCAGCGGGTGGGTCAGGTTAGATCAGGGTAAAGGGGCAAAGTGGATAAGTGTAACTTGTATTGAAGGGCACTTATCCTTTGAAATACCCAGGTGATCTATCGTTCCTTCGGATACTCCTTTGATACTCTATCCGAACCTGTGACCTGTATTAAAAGTGGGCAGGTGGTTCACAGAAAAGGAAGTCAGGAAGCTGTGAATGAATCATTACTTTGGCTTTTCTTTTTTTTTTCCTGACTATAGGCTTTCCCTCCCTCAGGTGGAATCATTTTTGGCTGATGCTATAATACTTCTTATAAAAACCAACTGATAGATTACCTGCGGCCAAAAGGCAGGCCGGATTCCCGGTGGACGAGTATACGGCACAGCAGGAGCTGTTCATGGATTTCAGGCCGAAGAGACTTCACTTCCACGTTCTCTGGCTTTAGCTGACAGATCTCATTTTCTGGGCTCCAATCAGACTTTGTTTTAAGGGGTTACTACAAGGACAATTTCCTGATTATGTGACTACAGAGACGAGGTGACACCGTGCTGGGGCTTATTCCTCTTTTCAGTGAACTGAGCCATGCAAACTATTTCTTTTTTGCCCCTGGATTGAGTGTGCATGCAAAACCACTAGTATATACAGATGTGCTCAAAGGTTTGCATCCTCTGGAAGAAATGTTGGCATTGATATTGAGAATATGACTGATCATGGCAAACAATTGTCTTTAATTTAAAGTGTAAGGCTACGTTCACACTAGCGCTGTGTGCAGGCGAGAGAGAGGCGTTTGGGAAGCGTTTTTACCGCTTCCCAAACGCTTCTGCCAATTCTGCACATTACAGCACATGGTGCTGTTCTAACGGGAGCGTTTGCGTCACGGCAAAACGGACGCCTCTGGTCGAGTCAGGAGGCTTTGAAGCCTCCTATTCTCGTCTATGGTGTGGTTGCGACGCAGTTGCGGGCGTTTGCGGAGCGGTAACACCACTCAAACTGCATTATAGGCATTTGTGGGGCGTTATTAACGCTCGGCAAACGCCCCACAAATGCCTAAACGCAACCAAACCGCCGCTAAACCAAACCACGCTGCGGCGTTTGCGGAGCGTTTGCCGAGCGTTAATAACGCCCCACAAATGCCTATAATGCAGTTTAAGTGGTGTTACCGCTCCGCAAACGCCCCGCAACTGCGTCGCAACCGCACCATTTGTGGGGCGTTATTAACGCTCGGCAAACGCCTAGCAACCGCCGCTAAACCACGCTTGCGGCGTTTGCGGAGCGTTTGCCGAGCGTTAAAAAACGCTCCGCGAACGCCGGACCAACGCTTGCCAAACGCTATAGGGGCGTCTGGCAAGCGTTGGAAAAACAGCCAAGTGTGAACGAGCTCTTACTAAACCCACAACAATAAAAAATCAGTCTGTATATGCAGTCAGGCTAGGTCCCTGAGTGGTTTCATGTCAGTATTCAGGTGGGGGGGGGGGCTAGAGGTGGTAAAACCATGGCTTAAACTACTGTTTTTACCACTCCCTGGCTGCTCATGTGAACAAGACGTTAAAGAGGAACTTCAGCGGAATTTTTTTGTAATTCTTAGCCTAGGTTCACATCTGTATGGGTGGTGCTGCTGCGGATCCGCATGAAAATCCGTGCAGCTGCACCACCCGCACAGGGAAATGCGGAGCCGCGGGCGGGTGCCATTAGTTCTAATGGCACGCCGCCCGCACTGGAAAACACAACCGTACTGGGAACCGAGGTTCCCATGCGGGCTGCGTTTTCAGAAGAAGTGCAGGGACTTCTCTGCGTGTCACGGGGCACAGGAGTCCATTCAAATGAATGGGCTCTTGTACCCATGCAAAACGCGGCCCGCACGGCCACATATATGTGAACCAGGGCTAACGCATGCTTGTTAGGGCTCATGTACGCTGTAGCTGCTAAAGTTACGTTCCGAAGCCGTTGAGCGTTTTTTTTTTCAGCAGCCCCTGAACTCTCCTTTATGTTCTCCTATGTGTCTGTGTACACGGTCATTTACAGGCAGTTGAGTTTACAGTCAGTTTATATGAACGTACCAAAATTATGTTCAGGAGTAGATTTTACCGTTGTTTCAAACGCCAAACGCTGGTAAACGCGTTCACCAGCGTTTGCGTTTTTTGACTGGTCCATATCCAGATGCTATCCAGACCCTTTTTTCTTCATCAGAAATGCATGCAAAGCGTTTTCCATGTATTCAAATGGACCCGGTACACAGGGTATACACAGGTCATAGAACGCTTACCTGACCAGATCAATATCCCAGGAGTTTAACTGACTTGATGCTAGACTCTGATTAAAAAGCGTTCCTTCAATTTTTTTTAGCAGTGCATATATATATATATATATATATATATATATATGCTCTTCAAAATATTCCCGCACTTTTTAAAACATATATACTGTATGTATAAAAGTGTGGAAACTTTTTGAAGAATATATATATAATATTCTAAATGAGAGTTAATGTCCCCCCATGGAGTAGTTTCACAGCAGGCTTGAAATGTGTAGAATTTGATTATAATGCAGAGAAATAAATGTATTTGTATAATTTGTCAGAACTTTCAGGCGCCGTTTCCACTTCTTCTGTAACATGTATTAACACATTCAGTATGTCTATAAACCTCTGTTTGTCTTTATAAGTCCTTGGATTGGGTCCAGGGCTTGCACAGCATGTTCCCTAAGCTATTATATTACATTTCTTGTCGTAGATCTGCATTTAATTGGGTTATATAGAAGCCCAGTTGTGTAACGGGGTTCATCTTACAGAATTGTGTGATATTAGTCACCAGATAAAGCCCGGTGAAGCTTACACCTAAATCCCCGGTTCTCTGCCAGCTGCATCCTTCCAATGCTGACAGATGGCTCTTAGGTGACATACTAAAGGGGAGAACTCCTCAATTCTTCACTTTGTAATGGTTCTTCAGCTGAAAAAAAAACTTAAAGAGCAGCTCCGGGCCAGAAGAAAGACCAACTATAACTGTACGAAAAGCTGACAGTTCAATCTATTTAATGCTTTCAAACACTGTATTTCCAATGCATATACAGTTGCAAGAAAAAGTATGTGAACCCCTTGGGATTACGTGGAGTTTTGCATGAATTGGGCATAAAATGTGCTCTGAACGTCATCTAAGTCACAACAATAGAAGAACACAGTCTGCTGAACATAATACTACACAAACATTAGATGTTGCCATGGTTTAATTGCACATAACATGTAAACATTCACAGTGCAGGGAGGAAAAAGTATGTGAACCTTTGTGAATAACTGGTTGACCCTCCTTTGGCAGCAATAACCTCAACCAAACGTTTCCTGTAGTTGGAGATCAGACCTGCACAACGATCTGGAGTCATTTTGGACCACTCCTCTTCACAAAACTGTTTCAGTGTAGCAATATTCTTGGGATGTCTGGTGTGAATCGCTCTCTTAGGTCATGCCACAGCATTTCAATGGGGTTGAGGTCAGGACTCTGACTGGGCCACTCCAGAAGGTGTATTCTGTGCTGTTGCAGCCATTGTTTTGTTGAATTACTTGTATGCTTTGGGTCATTGTCCTGTTGCATCGCCCATCCTCTGCGGAGCTTCAGTTGGGGGACAGATGGTCGTACGTTTTCCTGCAAAATGTCTTGATAAACTCTGGAATTCATTTTCCATCAATGACAACAATGTCCAGGCCCTGAGGCAGCAAAGCAGCCCCAAACCATGATGCTCCCTCCGCATGTTTCACAGTGGGGATGAGTTTTTGATGTTGGTGTGCTGTGCCTTTT